GCATCGCTGTGTGATTGCCAGCTAACGGCCTAAGTGGGAAGACTTGGGGGACCGTGTGATCAGGCTACCGTGCTTTATTTTGCTCTGGGGTGAACAGTCACGCCTTCCCGCATTATCTGTCCCAGGTGACCAGGGCCTCAGTTTGGCTATCTTGTTATCTTACCTAGTTCTTTTCTTGCTATCTTACCTATTTCTTACTAATACTAGCCCTGTCCTAAAGCCTTTGGAATAAAGGCCAAAACAATTGGCAAATAGGTTATTGGATAAAACCTGAGACAGTGGTTTCTCAAGGGCAGTCAAAGACTCAGTAACTAAGGAGGAAGCTGATAACCCAGGCAAGTAACCGCTAATCCACTGTACCACACTTGCTCCCAGAAATACAAATCCATGCTTACGAGCACACTTTGTGTACTAGTTTTGGACATACCTGAAATGACATAGGAACCTTTAAAATGTTGAAGGTAAGGATGAGAGAGGTTGCTGAGAGTGAGAGGGCTCCACCCAAGGTCACGGGATCAGGCAGGCACCATGCTTATTTTAATATGGTATAATTTGGCTCACACATTATTTCCCCCCCACAATAAGAAACATGGGTGCATGTATACCTGAGAATTTCTCCAGACTGAGATTTCTCCAATAAAGTAATGAATGAACTGGCACAGTGAGAGATTAAGTAATTGTGTCATTTCTGGCAATACAACTGCAATGGGCAGCTTGAGTGGGTAAAAGGCTTCTTTCAAAACTATCTATGGGTAATAACATGCATGGATGAATTTGGGAGAGATAGAGAGAGAGAGAGAGGGAGGGAGAGAGAGAGATCCAAAAAGACTATTTTTCTTCCGGGGGCTTTCATTTCATTTCATTCTTTCCCCTATTCTATCCTAAATTAATTTTTTTCATATCACCACAGGAGAAATATCAGGAATAGAAGTGGGGGACTAGTGAAGATTTGCAGGGCCATCTCATTTCCCCCTGTACTGCCTTATCAAACCACTTCCCCTTCCTTTGGCATCCCTGTGAAAAAATGAATTTTTCACTTTGAGTTTTAAAATGTTTTTCTCTCTGGGCTAAGAAATGGAAAGAGGGGCAAAGTCAATTCAATTGCTTTTCCAGCCTCAGCTTATTTGACCCAGCCTGGTCAGTGGATGGGGAAAGAAAAATGATAAAACTCCTGAGAGCAAGGAAGAAGGGTCTTTTTTGTGCTAATTTCATCTTAAGCAATTCTTAACTGAGGTTGGGAGTAGGCAGGTTGCTGGCGTGCACACCTGAAGGAGGGAAGAAGAAGATGAAGAAGAAGAAGAAGAGGAGGAGGAGGAGGAGGAGGAGGAGGAGATTGAATTTATACCCCATACTTCACTACTCAAAGGGGACTCAGAGCGGCTTACAATCCCCTTCCCCTCCCCACAACAGACACCGTGTGAGGTAAGTGGGGCCGAAAGAGCTCTGAGAGAACTGCTCTTGAGAGAACAACTCTGAAAGAACTTATGACTGACCCAAGGTCACGCAAGCAGCTGCATGTGGAGGAGTGGGGAAACAAACCCAGTTCTCCCAGATTAGAGCCCGCACTCCTAACCACTACACCAAACTGGCTGAAGGTAATGGCACTCATGTAAAAATCTGTCTACACTAAGGAGCCTGCCTTATATTTAACAATTGATAGGTCATGCATAGAGGGAAGGACAGAAGAATTGCATTTTACCCTTTTCTTTTGAATCCCTTGTTCAGTTTGGTGCTGTGCTAAGAGTATGCTTGTGAATATCTTCTTTTAATAAATGCTTTATAACGTTTGATCCTGGTAGTGGTTCCCTCCACTGTCTTGGACACGCTATTTTAAAAGGAGCGCCACATAGACCTCCACTGTCTTGGACACACTATTTTAAAAGGAGCGCCAGGAGGAAGGGGAGGGCAGTAAGCTGGTAAGTGGCTATTCCCCCCATGGTGCACAAGGCAGTAAGCAATCCCCATAGTAATCAGGCACTAGGTAGTGGGAGATGCAGAGACAAGGGTTCAGAACTCAGAAGGGAAGCTGGGAGTCCTGTCCCTCTGAGTGGGCAATTCCTACGAAGGTCAGCTGGTGGCAGCAGTTGAACAGAGATAGAGAAAAGCCCTCTTGTGTTGGGAAAACCAAGGAGGGCAGGGTGGGACAGGGCCTGCAGGCCAAAGCAGAACTGTTCTACCACAAAACCCCTAGCTTTTTCATGATTCCTTCTCTCTCTCTCACCCACCCAAGATCCTACCATTATCTGTCTCGCAGTCCTCAGCCGTCCCTTCCTCAGGCTGTCTCACTCTTTTTCTTCTCTTCCACCTACCTAACTGCCTTGTTCTTTTCTGCACCCTCAATTTCTCCTCTCTCCTTTCCCTACTTTCTTCCCCTGTTCCCATCTTTTAACTTTTTCAGTAATAATAATAATTATCATATGGCAGTGGGTAGCCAGGAGATCCCAAGATTGTCTGGCAGCCTGAAACTCTAGCTCCTTTTGTGGTGAGCTAGGTTTATTATTTTGCCTGAGAGAACTGTGACTGACCCAAGGTCACCCAGCTGGCTTTGAGTGGAGGAGTGGGGGATCGAATCCGGTTCTCCAGATTAGAGTGCACCACTCTTAACCACTACACCAAACTGGCTCTCAGCTTTTTCAGTGTCTCCTCCTTTCATCTTTGATTGAAAGAAACCAAGACTTGAAAGGTTCAGCAACACTACTGTGGTCACCTAGCATCCTCCACAAAATGGTCACCAAGATCCCAGAATGTAGTCTCATGAGATATCAGTGGATCGCTTATCTCTTAACCTTACAAACATTACTTGCATTATCTGTGGAGACTTTACTCCATCCCAATGCATTTTTTTTCAGATATCAGATTTTTTTTCTGCAAACACAGAGCTTCCCTGAGGTTTGCAGAAAAATGTCTGATCACATTGGGTGTATTTTTTGACCCACACTCGAAGGCTCTGCTCAGAATTAGATGTAATGACACAATGTTCACTGTTGAGGCAGCATTATCAAAAATACTATATGTTTCATCATGGGAAAATCAACAACTTTCCATGACAGTGGTGACCACTGTCAGTGTAATTTTCTGAAATATAATGTTCAACCTGGTCCTCATGGTGAAGATCAAAAGGACTATACAATGGGGCCAAGTGTAGCTAGGGTACATTCCTTGATGGAACCTCTTAGGTCTGCAGAAAAATTAGAAGATTTTAGAAAGGGCAATTAAAAATATGCCAAAGTTAAAGCAAAAATGAGATCTTGTGATGTATTCTAATAAGATCTTATCCACCATTTCAGGTGATGACTAGGCAAGACTACAAGGCAAGATAGTGCAGGAACGAGGGAGCAAAGGAAGACACCCCCCCCCCCCATTACTGGCTGTTTCTTTTCTTGGTGGTGAGACACTTGGAGCAGAAAACATGTTCTGTTCTCTATGGTGCCTCTATGACTGTAGACCAGCAGATGGGGGTGGGTTGGAGGAGACAGCTATAGCCACTGCAAGAGGCTTGGAAACAGGAAAGGGGGGGAAATGAGTGTGAGAGAGTAGTGACAGGGGGATTTCTTCTCTCCCACAAGTCCTCATAGGTTCTCCTCTTGTACTTCCACAATGCTGGAAACTGCTCAACTATTTATGGCAAAATCTAAGTTATATACTGATGGAGGGGCAGATGAATGAGGGAAACATTTGATAACTCACCAATACTTGCTTCAAGCAACTGTGCAATGTAAGAGGGATCTTCTCCTAATAAGATTCAGTAGCAAAAAGCATACCTCTTTAATATCTCACTTGATCACACACCTTAATTCGAAGTGATTAAATAGACCAGAAGCTTCTAAATGAATTTGACCAAGTACACTTGACAAAGAGCCTAAATTTTCTAGACCAAACTATCTATCACACTTTACAGTTTTAATACTGCCGTGTCAATAATACGGAAATGCATCTCCTTCCATGCACTCAGCTCTGCATGAATGGGTGTGTCTTAGTCCCTGCAGGCATTCTATAGCAACCATCTCCCCACAGCTGGCTCTGAGTCAGGTGTGCTCTTACTGTCCATTACCTTTATTTCATCTTTGTATCAAGAAAGGCTCTCCAATCAAGCAAAGCATTATTGGTGGGGGACCGATCCCATGCCTTATATGCAGCACTGTGCACAGAGAAGATGGACCATGCCTATAACAGGTACAATTTTTGGCATGTTTAAAGTGCCAAATATTTATTCACTCATTTAACAGGACATGATCTGTATCCTTAGAATATTAACCTAAGGCCCCTGCCACACGGGGGGAGAAAGCACGGCCGAAGTGCGGCTTTTTAGAGCCGCACCAAAAGAGACACGCGGCGTCGGGATCACATAGATCCCCTGAGCCGCCCCGCAGTTGCTCCCCGGCACGATCAGATGCCGGGGGGAAGCCACTGAAGGGAGAGCGAGGCAGCCGAACTGCGCATGTGTGCGCATGCGCAATTCGGCCGGGAGCCTAGATTGCTCCTGAAGATGGGCGCTCCGCCGATCCGACGGCAGCGCTTGCTGCAGCGTTGCAGGTAAGTCCTGCTCTTTAGCAGGTTCTTTTTTCATCCGCATTACCGGCCTGAAGGGACGGATCGGGGACGGGTGCACGCCAATTTCCGGATGTTGCGGTGTGCTCGCGCCCATTTGCTGCGCCCCCGATCCGTCCCTCTTCCGGGCCAAAACCTCCCGTGTGACCGGGGCCTAAGTTAGATTCACACACAATAAAAAGGAGAATAACCTGAATGGTCAGAGTACTATGAATGAAAAAGGCTCCCCTCTTGCCCCCAAGGCTCACAGCATATAAAGCTAGAGTCTGTTGTCTGCCTCCCAAATCTTCCTGGATGAGAATATCATGTTTTTAAGATAACTGATGTGAGAACTCTTCCTACCCACTTTTCTGTTATCTCTGTGGCTAATATGATGTTTGTTGGGATGCTGCCTTCATATAGGAAATCTGGGTACTTGCTTCCATAAAACTCTTGTAGGGTATACTACCTACCTCGGATTGATGGCCGACTCTGATAAAAGCACAGATGGGATCAAAGGCCCCTGTCCCACAGGCCATGAGGTGTGTTCTGTTGTAATGATGCAGGACACGGATATAATTTGCACACTCTTCCTATGGTGAGAGATAAGGAATTTAAAAAACAATGTAAAGGCAAAAAAATATATTAAAAAACCAATTTAACATGTTATTACAGTGACACAGATCCCTTTGAACAATTATTCATGTAGCATGTACTTATGCTCTTCACTAGTAATTGAAACCTTTGAACTGAGGATAACTGATGCCATTGCCCTTTTGGTGTGGTGGTTAAGCGTGTGGACTCTAATCTGGGAGAACCAGGTTTCATTCCCCCCTCCTCCACTTGCAGCTGGCTGGATGACCTTGGGTAAGCCATAATTCTGGCACAGCTGTTCTTGAAAAAGAGCAGTTTCTTTCAGAGTTCTCTCAGCCCCACCTACCTCACAGGGTGTCTTGTGGGGAGGGGAAGGGAAAGGAGTTTGTAAGCTGCTCTGAGGCCCCATTCACATAGCGAATTTGCCGCGGGAGAGCCACGGATGCCGGGCGGATTATCCGTGCATGATCACACCGCCACATCTGGCAAGTGTAGCGCACCCATGGCTTTCCGCCGAAAACCCGCAGTTAAAAAGTACCTGCAAACAAATACTAGCAACCGGTTATTAGAATAAGGGGAACTCTGTATGTTTGAGACAGCAGGGGTGCTGTGTTTGTCTTAAATAAAGAAACCATGTTTTTTCTACAAACACCTCTCCTTTGTCTGCAAGTAACCTAGGAGCAGTGTTCCCTCTAAGCTCACATATTTTTGTCTTCGCTCAGGAAGGATGGCTTCAGAGCAAACTGATTTATGCAGTAGCCACATTGCTTGCTCACAACTTTAATGCCAGTAGCTCACAAAGTAGAAGTTTTGCTCACAAGACTCCACAGCTTAGAGGGATCCTTGCCTAGGAGCCCTTCCTTTCTTCTGTTCACTTCCTCTTCCTTTGTCTGCAGAACACTGGGCACTGCTTCCAAAAGAACACCATGCACATTTCTCACTTTTCCATGAAGGAAGGAAGGCACATCCAGACCACAGTTCCCTGTAGCGTGCGTTTGTGTGCCTGGAGGCAGCCTATTGTGATCCAGGAGCAAGAGTAACTTGACTCCTGGTTTTGTTAATATTAGTTCAGAGTGCTCTGCTTGTCAGGGGCTCCAGCCCAACCTCCCGCCAGGTTGGCGTGGGAGTGTTTGAGGTCTGGTGATAACAGTTGGGTAGGAGCACTACACTCTCTTTTGAGATCCCTTGCAATGGAACTGGAGACTATGTAACAGTGAACAATATTAAAGTTTTTATTTAATAGGCAGGGATGGTACAGGGTAATCAGGAACTGAAAAGGCTGAGGTAAACATTGGTACAACAGTATATGTTTTAGTTAACAGACAAGATGGTGTTGGAGCAACTTATTTTTACAAATTCTTGGGTTTTCTCAGTGATACTTAAGTTTCTCAGTGAAACTTAAGTTTCAGTTACAATGTTTCTGCAAATAGTTTCCTAATAACTGCTCAGCTTTTCTGGAAAGTCACTCTTTTAGTGAATCAAATTCTTTCTCCTTTTATGAAATCGCAATGTGTCTTCTTTCCCTTGAGTAGTCTATAACCGTTTCCTTTCACAAAAGGCCAGGGACTGCCTCAGGGCCAATTCCTTGTATAACTGGACAGGGCTTCTATTTCTTCCCTGAAAATATAATCCTTTCCCTTTGGGAACTTCGGCCTTCTCCCCAGGCACTCTTGGCCAACATCGCAAACCTCGGTTCTTGGCATCTGTGCGAAAACGTACTTCATCTTTAGCTGACACTAGACTATGAATTCTTAGATGGAATTCTTCCTCAGGTTATGTTTAACACATCTCATACCAGGAGTCTCTCCCTTTATTCAAAAGGTGACCCTGTCTGACAGACGTTTTAGTCAGACCCTTTAGACATCTACTCCTTTAGCTGAGCTTTTTCTTTACTGAACATATGTGGTCAGGGTTAGGCACAAGACTTAGACTTGGAATCCAAGTTACAACATCAAAGACAAATTAGCAATAAGAAGGATCTTTATTCAGTACAGAGCACAGCAAACAGACTAGGAGATTACAAAATAACAAATGCTAGGGCAATTTGCCTTAACTATACATTGAAGATACATAGTTACCACATCAGGAACATCCACAGTACAGAATAGTCCAAGGGATTTTGAAGGGAAATCCCATTTTTGCACACCCATGTGCTCCAAGTCACAAAGCAGGTCTTTGTTTTCCAAAAGACAGCATTTCAGGTGCAATAAAACAGAAAATGATAAGAGGAGGAAGGGAGAGCTAAGAGCAAGAGAGCTCACTCCCATAGGGATCAATCAATTATACTCCAATTCCAGTCACAAATTAGCTGTGGCCATCAGCCAATTGAGAGTGGGCATGGGTGTGCCCAATTGTTGGTTGCCATGGTTGCTAACATCAGGTTTGTGGGATTGGCTGGAAGTTTGGAGACCCTGCCTGCAGTCATCTGACCCCAAATTCCAGCTACTTCATTGAGTACATGACTTGTCGCATGTGGGCCAGAAAGTGTAGCCATGAGGTCTGGCTTTTGGCATGAAAGTGTGAAAGAATGTGGGTTTATGGCATGGCTATTGAGGCCATTTGGCTTCACCAATTACCTTGCAACAGGAAACAAGACACAGCATGTTATCAAAAGACATAGCAGGAGAAGGCATGTGAATATAGAAGCAATATTTCTATGCACTCCCTTTATTCAAAAGGTGAACCTATCTGACAGAATTTTTAGTCAGACTCTTCAGATATCCAGTACTTAAGCTGAGATTTTACTTTAATGAACAGTAACTGCCACTGAAGTAAAAATAAACTAACTTTCCCTCAGCTGGCACTGGCCAATGAGAGAAAAGGAGCAGCCTGTCACTCAAGCTCAACATTCTAGAGCAGAGTTAACTATATTCATCTCCCTTCTCTGATTTTGTTTCATTTGGAAAACAGTGTTTTAAATGTAGTTCATCACACAATGTCTTAACAAGATAATGAAAGAATTTTGTTGTTAATACATACAGCGTATCTTCCTTTGATTCTGCATTCCTCTGTTTGTAGGGGTGTACTAGGCCAATGGATCTGTAATAAAATAAAACGTTGTTTAATAATCTACTGAAATGATAATAGTCTACATAACTGCATATATGAATAGCAATCTGGGTTTTGTATTCAGTTTTAATTCCCCCTCCCATAGTACAGTTCTATGGCAGGTGGATTGCCTTGTAAATTAGGCAAAGTAATGCATGATGAGCTTTTCTACCTGTTTTTTTAATCAGTTCTGGCCCCATACTGCTTTGACTTATCCCTATTCTCACATGTATTTTTCTGGCTTTAGTTTTCACCTTGGATTTTTTGTTTTCTCCCCAGGCTCTTTTGAGACCACTTTTACCCCAATCTTTTTCTGAAAGCCGATGTTAAGTTGGCTTTTTGTAATATGTAATGTTTCTGTCGGTTTTCTTTGTCCCACCCACGCCCAGTTCACTTTTCAATGAATGGACTGTCATCATTGTTAAACCATTCCCTCTCCCCCCTGAAGACCAGTGATTTAACTTTTTTAAAAAAAATCTGCCCCCCAAATATTGATATATCTCTGTAGTGCTGTAATGATAGTTTAAGCAGGTTCTCTAAATCCCCAGCTTTCATATTTTTAAAAAGTAAGTCTCTAGAAGAAGAAGAAGAAGATGAAGAAGAAGAGATTGGATTTATACCCCGCCCTTCACTTGGAGTCTCAGAGCGGCTTACAAACTCCTTTCCCTTCCCCTCCCCACAACAGCCACCCTGTGAGGTAGGTGGGGCTGAGAGAACTCTGGCACAAATTGCTCTTTTTCAAGGACAGCTGTGCCAGAGCTTGTGACTGACCCAAGGTCACATGAGCAGGTGCAAGTGGAGGAGTGGGGAATCAAACCCGGTTCTCCCAGATTAGAGTCCGCGCACTTAACCACTACACCAAACTGGCTCTCCCTCTAGTTCCTTCCCTTGTGGAGATTCACCTTTTCCCATATATCACCCTGAGGGAGGGGGCTAGAGAATTACTTTTTTGAAAAGTGAAAGCTGCTTAAACTATCATTACAACACTACAGTTATATATTAATATTTTAAGGCCCTTTAAAAATGTTGTGTGTGTGCTCTGATGACACCAATAATGACACCAATGACTACAGCATCCTCCCTTGAAAATCCTCACATGTGGAATAAACTGACTCCAGAACTGTAAAAATGTACCGGGGGGGGGGGGGGGAGAGACATGCAGAAGAACCCTGCCCAAACTGATTCCAATGCTTGTGCATCAACTCTCAAGAAAATAAAGAGACATTCTTGAGTCAGAGTTGGTAAATAGGGTGAAGGTGGTGGGGCCTTAGGGGGAAGTGAGCATATCCTCCTAGCATTCCTTTTGTTGCTGGGGGCGGGGAGAGGAACTTTGAAGTCAGACATGTATGTTAGATTTTAGTAGGGTACACTTTAATGAACTCAGAGGCATGATGAAAGTCATTCCATGGGCAAGAATGCTGGAAGGGAAAGGAGCAAGTGAAGAGTGGGCCTTCCTAAAACAAGAGTTCTTGCAAGCTCAAAGCATCACTCTTCCAATGAGGGGAAAAAATGGTAGGGGATCCAAGAAGCCAAGGTAGATGAACAGAGAACTCTGTGCTGAGCTAAGGAAGACAAGGGAAATGTTCAAGAAACAGAGGGAAGAACATACCTTTACAGAAGAATATCTGACAGTTGCTAGGCACTATAGGTTGGCCATCAGAGAGGTCGAGACTGAGAGTGAGTTGCGGTTGGCCAGGGAGGCTTGCTACAACAGGAAACACTTCTTCAGATACGTGAGGAGCAAACACACAGAAAAAGGGCAATAGGCCCACTGTTCAGTGAAAATGGAGAAACTGTGGCAGAGGACAGAGAGAAAACAGTTTATTCCCTGAAGAAGAGAAGAGGCTCATCTAGAGATGAGTCCAGGCTGCTGGTTGACATAGACAGAGCAGTTGTTGAGAGGCACCTGGCTGCGCTAGATGAGTACAAATTCCCCGTGCCAGATGGTATGCACTCAAGAGTGTTCAAAGACCTTTCTGGAGAGCTTGCATCTTCAAGACTTCTTTGAGGACAGGAGATGTGCCACAAGATTGGAGGAGTGTGAATGTTATCCCAATCTTAAAAAAAAGAAAGAAAGAAAGAAAGAAAGAAAGAAAAGAGGAAGGGTGACCCAGGAAACTACAGACCAGTCAGTCTGATTTCCTTTCCAGGGAAGATACTGGAGCAAATTTTGAAGGGGTCAGTCTGTGAGCATCTGAAGGACAACTTGGTGTTCCAGGGAAGTCAGCTTGGTTTGTCCCTAAGAGGCCCTGTCAGACCAATCTTATTTCCTTCTTTGACTGAGTGACAAGCTTGCTGGGTTGTAAGAATGCTGTCAACATTGTTTACCTGGATTTCATTAAAACTTTTGACAGGGTTCCCCATGATGTTTTGATGGATAAACTGGAGGATTGTAGACTGGACTCTAGGTTAGTTAGGTGGATAGGGAACTGGTTGGAGAACCGCACTCAAAGACTAGTTGTCGATGGCATTTTATCTAATTGGAGGGAAGTATCTGGTGGGGTGTACAGGGCTTGGTTCTGGGTCTGGTACTTTTCATTGTTTTTATAAATGATCTAGGGTGTGGAGAGACTACGCATTTAATTTGGATATGACCCCAAATTGGGAGGAGTAGCGAACACACCAGAGAATATAGAATTTAGCAAGATCTGAACATGCTGTAAAAGTGGGCAGATGTGAATAAGATGCAATTCAACAAACATAGGTACAGAATTCTCCAGCTAGGTAAAAAAAGTGAGAAGCTCACATACTGGATGCGGAAAACACTTCTGAGTATCTGTGTGTGTGAACAAGATCCTGGGATATGGGTGGACTTTAAGCTAAATATGAGCAGTCAGTGTGATGCAGCTGCAAAAAAGGCTAATGCGGATTTGGGGGTGTAGCAACAGAGACACAACATCCAAATCACAAGATTTCATAATCCTGCAGTACACCGCATTGTTCAGGCCACACCTTTGGGCAGTTCTGGCCTCGCTTAAAAAAGGATGTCGACAGAATGGTGCAGGTGCAGAAGAGAGTGACAAAGATTATCAGGGGCCTGGTGACCAAGCCCTTTGAGAAAAGGCTGAGTGACTTGGGAATGTTCAGTCTGGAGAAAAAGAGATTGAGGGGGGGACATGATTGCTATCTCTAAGTACTGGAAAAGAGGGCAGGGAGAGACATGTAGGGACATGCATGGAGGGAGCTCTTCCTGTTGGCAGCAGAGGATAAAGGAGGGCAGGGAGCTGTTCCTGTTGGCAGCAGAGGATATGAGTTGCAATAATGGGTTTAAAGAGGCCTCAGGAACAGCCTAAATGTGACAGCATCCTTGCAGTTTCTGCCATGAGCAGTATGGTGTACAAACAAAGCACAACTATAGTGTACAAAAACAATGAAGTAAAGAAATGTACAAAAATATTTACTAAAGGCTCAATATAGTTATTATAAATAGTGGAGTATGAGAACTTCATTACAGCATCATTATAGGTGAGCAATCTGAGGGTAGAAGATATCCCCATCATATTGTTCAGTAAGCACAACAGAGACTGAATCATCTGTGAATGTAATTGATTATATATTGGGAGTACAATAAGACCAATTAAATCTAGAATTTTTGAACACCGATCATGAATTCGAAATAACGTGGAACACTTTGTTAACGACAACCATGAACCTGATTCACTTTCATTTTTTTGTATTGTCTGAATTTGTGGGTCACACATACAATAAGGTGAATATAAGTAAAATTTTATTTCACCAAGAGGCGAAATGGACTTTTAAATTAAAAACCTTGTCATCCTTTGGTTTGAACCAAAGTTTGGATCACAGCTGGGTTTTTTTTTTGTTATGTAGCACTTTAAGGAGGAAAGCATATCAGGCACACCTGAAAACCAGTACTTATCATTGAGATTTGTCTATTTAAATGTTAAATGTTTTTCTGTGTAGTCACCATGTTGTAACTTGTGAGACAACTGGAGCTGAATGCCCATCTTTGAATTCATTGAGAAGTTCCCCCCCCTGAGTATATGGGGTAAGATTACACAGTCTGAGGTAATTCTTCTTTAGGTGGTGCCTTATATAGGTTTGGTTTCTCCATTATAGCTTTAAAACATCGCAGATTGTTTGGTTCCACTCTTGAGAAAGCTGATGGTGAAACGCTTTTTCCCAAAGCTAGCTACAACATTGGGGAGTTGCTGGAACTGTTTCTTTGATTAATCTTCAATTGCTGAGCTTATCCGGCTGGAATGCATTGTGTTGAATAGCATGGATTTTGGACTTTGATCCTGTTTATTGTGATTTATTATCACACTTCAAGGACTCTGTTCACGAGTGGGTGTTTGAGTACTACTATTTGTCAGACTCCTGGACAAGAGACTCCCAACAACACTCTTTTTGGCAGTGATTTGTTTATTGAGATATCATCATGATCCAGGCTAGAACAGTACCATGTCAGAACTGAGGTTCTGGTGGGAACATTCAGAGATATAGAGAGCTCAAAAGGGCCACCCCCCCCCCCAGAATGACCAATCACACTTCGCAGTCATCCCACCTAACACTTGCCTTCACTAACCCCCCACCTCTTGGGAATATACGATCCCATTATCTACAATAGCAAGCTGGCACAACTCTGGTTTCAAGGTCATTCCTTGAGGAGGGAGGTATCTTAAGGAAGAGTTATGACGCTTATTGATAGTGCAGTTCACACACTCAGCCATTCACCCCCTGTAGGAATTTCCCTCCCCCCTGCAACTATGGCAAACTAAGCAGAGTTTGACACTATTGAGCCATGTTGCACATGATGTAATTTATTTGGAATGTTACATTCTTGACAATTTGTAGTGGTTTTGTAATAAGTATTCTGAATAGTTTGAGGTTCTTATCTTGTACTATTTATAACTGTATCGAGCCTTTAGTAAATATTTTTGTACATTTCTTTACTTCATTGTCTTTGTACACAGTAGTTGTGCTTTGTTTGTATTCCCTGACTGTGTACCTCCTTGGGTTTTGTTTCG